GCCTTGCCGGGTCATACATTCTAGCTCTAACAAGTATATGTGTAGTGATACAAAACAGCTGAAGAAGATGGTCAGGCTCTAAACCGGGCTGCTTAACTACCCATTTAAGAAACTTCAAAGCCAGCTTCCCATGAACTGGTCTAAGACGAGCCTGTCTATAGTCCATATGATTCAGAGATCCCCAACGGTCAATAGTAAGAATGTTATATATGCTCTCCTCCATATCAAATCCTGTTTCATATTACAACAAAATGTTCAAATCTTTAGCAAAACCCATACATAAGATCCAGGAAAAAAACATTATACGAATCAAAATTCACCCAAAATTTCACTCTACGGTACTAATTACTCGAATTCTTAAACCTCTAATCAGAACCCTGGCTTAAATTGGTTTCAAATGAAGCCACCCCAAAAAAGGAAGAGGAAACTGTATAATCCATCATGAAAAGTATCCTTTAGCTTCACACTAACATTACTTTCTTCCAGTTTCACGATTTTGATTTCATATGTAGAGAAAATTTTCGCAGAAACAAAAAAAAAAAACTCACCAGAGACATCTCGTTTCGAGTGTTTTACAGCGCCGGAAGAGAACCGTACTCGAGAGAAGCATCCGAATTTCGAAGAACTGAGACGCAATAAAGAGATTGCTCCATTTCTGTAAGAAAATAAGCTCGAGAAACCTGACATGGCTGCTTCTCCGTACCGTCAGTCCAATTCAAAAAAGTTTCTCCGTTCTTCTTTAGCTGTGTACAATCTCGCCCCCGGTGGAAAAAGCTGGGAACGTAGTTGGGCCAAAAATTCGAAAAGTCCACTTTTTATTCAAATAGGCCTATTGGCGTAAGCCCATACGTAACGTGTAAATCAACACGTGGATAATTTGACGCATTAACAGTAGGGTCCCATAACTCCCAGGATCTCATGCTAACGGACGGCTGAGATTGAACGGCAGGAGCGTAGGGTAGGTGAAATGTCGATGACGACTTAAAGTTTTGCCTTGTTCAATTAGGTGAAAGCAACTTCCGACTCTCACGCGTGTCTGATTTTAAATCTTTAATCCATTTTTGTTTTGTTAAAAAATTTAATCCATTTTTTCAAAGGTCAATAATTATACTCCACATCTAAACTTTACTCCATTTTACGTTCAAGTTCAAGAAATTTTTCATAATAACATGTATCAAAAGTACAGCTTCAAAACAAATAACGTCAGATTAACAATAACTTTTTACTATATTCTTCAAGTGATATGCCTTGTCTCTTATTCACTTAAAATGAAATGAAAAGATCATTAGAAGTGGATAGCGAAAAGGCCAGAGTTAGAAGAAAACAAATTTAATTAATGTGATAGCGAGAAGGTGAGAGTTAAAAGAAGAATCTCTAAATCTGTAGAAACTTCCAGTTTCGTGAGTGTAAGTAATCTCAGGGACCATTTTCAGCTTTCTTTTATTTGTCACCCACTATAGCCTGTTTCCAACTCCTATCACCGATTGTTACCAGTAAACTCACTCTCCCACTATAAATCCACAGTCACAGACCCACCGTCACTGCTTACTTACGCCGCACGTCACATTTCTTTTCCTCTTCTTCTTCTTCTCCCTCTTCCCGGAGAAGAAGATGAAAAATGTTGACAGAAGAAAGAGAGCACAACCCGGGATTAGCAAAAAAGATAGTTTTGCTCTTGTCGGGAGTGTGCTCTCTTTACTTCTGCCACCATCATCGCACATATGTATACACATAGCGATGTATGTGATCGTGTGAGCGTATGTTGTGTATATAAACACTACAGATACTCTGACTGCTTCAAGCCTTCATTAATGTTTCTTAGGTATCAAGGAAGGTAAGTAACCTAGTGATATTTTCATTAACAGCTTCTGTTTTCATCAGGGATATGTAAACCGGATCGGTTTACCCAGCTTTTCTTTCAGGCCACATACATGATCAACATCAAGAGCTAGATCTAACTATACTTCCCATTCTTCATCAACTTGAAACTAGGGTTTGTTTTGATTGCTCTGTAATATTACCATTTCAAAATACCCTGAAACTTTTTTTTTACTTGTATGAATTCGGCGAAACCTTGAACGATCTTGAAAAACTGGGATTTGCTATGATTGCTCTGTAACAATAGATGAGTTTTTGATCTGGATTCTGAGATGAGATTTATATGTATTCAAAAACCTAACCGTTCAATATAAACTCATTGAACCAAAGGCCACACAGTGTTATACAAATAAAAAAAAATTCAAATGAAATCAAACGAAAGAATCAAAAGATATACTAAGATACAACGTACACGATACTGTCTCCTTCTTCATCTTCTGAGACAATGTCATCAAGACTTAACGCACAAGAGAAAGACAATGTTGGTTTCATCTTTGGAACCGGAGAAGGCTCAACCTCATTGTTAAGTATCTGAAGAACACGTCTCATGGATGGTCTCTCATTACTATCTGGATGAGCACACATAAGCCCAACGAGCAACAGTTTCTTCATCATTTCCTGATCAAACTCACCTTTCAGTCTCTCATCCACTGCTTCGAGAACTCTGCCTTCACTGTGTAATCTCCAAACCCAGTCCACTAGATTCACAGTCTTCTGACTCTCTGGTTCTTTATCTATTGGCCTTCTCCCACAAGCAACCTCTAAAATCACCACTCCGTAGCTAAAAGCATCTGTTTTCTCAGTCGCAGTGCCATATTGTAGGTACTCTGGTGCGAGATACCCCATCGTACCAGCGGTTAAGGTCGAGACAGGGCTTTTATCGTGCTCAGTGAGCCTAGCGAGACCGAAATCTCCGAGCCTTGCGTTGAAGTTGATGTCAAGCATTATGTTGCTTGTCTTTATGTCTCTGTGAACCACTTGCTGCTCGCATTCATGGTGAAGATAAGATAACGCTGAAGCTAAACCAACGGCTATGTTCAGCCTATGCGACCAGTCAAGAGACACAGCTCCTGTTTCTGATTCCTGATACAGAATCTTGTCAAGACTTCCATTAGGCATGAACTCATAGACGAGAAGCAACTCTCCTTTCTCGTTACACCAACCCTGCAGCTGAACAAGATTCTTGTGTCGCAAGCAAGCAATGATTGATAACTCGGCCAGAAACTCGGTTTTGCCTTCGGTTGAGTTGTGCCTCGATCTTTTCACCGCAGAGATCGTTCCTGAAGAAACGAACATGGATTTGTACACATTCCCAAACGCTCCTCTCCCAATGACTCTACTCGAGTGAAACCCTTTCGTAGCTGCGTAAAGCTCTTTGTAGCTAAACTGTCTCAGGCCTGTGATTAGCTCTGTCTTGAGCTCTTTCTCTGCTTTCACACCTTTCCATTTCCTCAAAGTGAAGAATCCAAACACCAAGAGAGCTAAACAGAAGAAGATTGGGCAAGAAATACCAAGTCCAATAGCGAGATTGTGCTTCCTGTGACGACCCTTCCTACTCGTGGAACGAGGTATAGGCACAGGATCAATGGAACTATCTGAAACATTGTGAGGATGATTAGACTTTGATCTCACCGGAAGAAACCCAGACGTCTTGAAGCTCCAATTCTCGATCAGGTGAATCTCTGTGCTTCCTTCTGTTGAACCAGAGAACCCTACAAACATCTCTCCGTTTAAGAAAGGAGAAAGATCGATTTTCACAGATAAAAGAGGCTTCTCTGGCTTCTTCGTGGTGGCTATTGGATCTGTGTAACTCAAGAACACGTTCAATAAACGCAAATCGTTCTTGTAATCGATCCAAGCAGTGATCGATTTACCAGATTTAAGATCGATTTGAGAAGAAACCGATGGATCCGAGGTCGCGATTGAGTTCAAACTATCGACATCTAACCCGACGTGATTACCGCTCGGATCGTTGAAATGAGGATCCAATTTGGTGTCGAATTCGATCGCGACGAACCGATTCTTCATCGGCTGAGAGGAATTGACGAGGCCCAAGAATCCGCCGGGACTTCCTAAGGTGTCTTTGTCGTGAGAGAGGAAGAAAGAGAGTCCGTCGCCGGAGGAAACTGGGTTTACGTTTTGGACGGAGAAGGAGAAGTGAGTGAAGAAAGACGCCGTGGTGTTTGAGTCCGGATCGTAGAAACGGATCGGTGTGTTGTAGATGACGGTGCCGGAGCTCGTATCTGGCACGCCGAGCTCTCTTGTGAGTCCGACGACGCCGTTTCGGAGATGGGAATCGCCGAGGAACGTGAGGTTTCGGATCGTGAAGGATTTGAATGTGAAGTTCACGTTATCGGAAGATACGAAGATTGGTTTCGCCATGGAAATAGCAATCCATGTGAAGAAGAGAACAAGAAGCTTTCTTGAAGGAGACATTAGAGAGAAAGAGAGGAGAGAAAATTGGTGCTGTGGTGGGAAAATGGGTTCGAATTGATTATGAAGAAGACGAGGGTGTGATTGTAATTTTGGTGTGGCAACGGTTATTAGCAATGGGAGATTTTGCGACGTCGTTTTAAGGTTCGTTAAGTGGGAAAGAGCTGGAGGAGCGGGTCGGGTGGGGCCTCTGGTAAGTGGACTGTGGACGCAAAAATCCAAACTGACCGTTTTAATGGCATCTATAGCGCCACCACGTGCATACAATATGGTGGAATGATATGAAATCTATCTTTTACTTCATTTAAATTATTTTAATTTGTCTGTAAATGTAATAATGATAAAACTCATTTTGACTCACCTATGGTTGACTGTATAACTGTTTCAGCTCACAAACAGTATTTTCTTGCTTTTACAATTAAAAGAGGACCTGAAATTAATAATAGAATATCTCTTTCTATTGTCTATGGCTCCTATAACTAACATTTTTTTTTTTGCTAAAGGTATTCAAATTAGAATGCAAAGCTATGCCTTTTTGAGCATACAGTTTGAAACAAGAGTTTATGAAACAGAAAATACAAAGCATAAGCTAGAGGAGCTAGAAGCAACATCAGTGATCCTATAACTAACATTTTGGATCACAAACGTATCTTAATACACATACTTTACAAGTTAAATGGCATTTGATATTGTGTGTGAGTGCTAGTAGTAAGTCAGAATCATATTTTTATCTAAGTTCCAAATTCGAGAGTAATTAATATAATCAAGCGATGGTGATCCAAAAGATAGTGAGAATTTGGCTGTATTGAAAATTTACAAATCTCTTGCTTTCAGCACCTGGCTCTTGCCACTAGGAGAATCCACAGAACCTAATAACAGATATAAAATAGAACTAGCCGTTAAGTATGAACGTGAACGTCAATGGGAGACTAATTTAATTATTACATTACCCATTCACTAATCCTTACAAAAGCAAAAAGGAATCTTGAAAGATTCGATTTTGATTGTACGATAATTTGTTACAGACTATTCACAAACTACTATGAATTTAGTAAGGAGTTGTTCCTCATTTCCTTCAAAACGAAAGGAACTGAAACACAAAGTCATTTACTTTGTTTGTGGTTCTGTCTCTTTGAATCTGAGTTTGGCTCATCGTAGTTATAGCTATAGCGATCGGAACTTTCGCGGCAAAAGAACTGCAAAAATTGAAAAGAAATTATGTCCAAAACTAGGAAAGTTTTTTTTTATATGTTGAAGTGTAATCGAGAGAATTTACCTTGGGTTATATCGGGGAAGCTTTTCGCAGGGAAAGTAAGATCAGGATCACGCTTTTGCTGAGAAATGACTGTGTGAAGAATATTGCTCTTGCTGTGTAAACAAAAGGCTTTAAGGGTAAACGAACTAGTAATGATTAATGAGAGTTGAACATTAAAGAATGAGAGAAGCCAAACTAAAACAAAACCTGGCCCAAGAAGGAACGAATTTGTGGTTTGGCATGTCGTCACAGTCATCATCTTCCTCTTCATTTTCGTCGTCTGAGCATTTGTATGGAGAGATGTCGTAAGACTCTTCAGACATTTTCCCAGGATTGCTTATTACCTATAAAGCACAAGTATTGTTATGTATTGAGATTGGTCTCATCTCTAAAGAACTCCAAGTCTCTAACAGATGAGAAACTTGTACCTTGAAATCATCATCTCTAGAGGTTCTTGAAGCATTGGTATCATCGCTGGCATTACTCTTTGGTCTTACTTCAGGGATCCTACTATTCGCCTGTCCTCGGGTTTTCTCAGCATTACTTTGAGTTTCTTTCAGTTCCTTGAGTGCTTTTATCTTCGCATCCTAGAATGTCATTTCCTTTCTTTGTTTAGCAAAACTCCTACATGACATTAGTCAAACAAAGTTTGTACGAACAAAACAAGAAGAGTGATCTTACCATGGCTTGTCTTTTCAGTTCTTTTTCAGCATGTAGTTTCTCATCAGCCTCTCTCTGTTGTCTCTGAATTTCTGCAACTCGCTGTCTTTTGGCTTCCTTCAGTTTTTTCTCTTCTTCTCTCTGCCTCTTCCTATTCGCCATTTCAAACTCCTTTCTCTTCCGCTCCTCTTCTTTCTTCTTCTTTTCCATCTCCTGCTTCCAAGCCATTTCTGCCTCCTTTTTCTTTCGCTCTTCTTCTTTCTTTTTCTTCTCCATCTCCTGTTTTCTCAGATTTTCTTCTTCCAGCCTTGCCCGCTCAAGCTTCATAGCTTCTTTCTTCATCTTGCGATCATTTTCTTTCTGTTCAGCAATCCGTTTCGAAGCCTCAGCAGCTTCTAAGGACTTTACTTTGACATCCCTCTTGCCTAGGGTAAACATAGATAGAGTTACATCAGACAAATAAGTCCCACAAGACAGTAGATTGAAACAGTTATTTGGAAATTTCAAAAGCTTTATACTGCAAAGAGAAAACTACCTGTAAAAAGTGCAGCTGCTGGTTTTTGCTGCTGCACAAGTGGAACGAACGAAGTGATGTTGGAAACAATGTTGTTGTGCCTAGGTTCTTTATCTGGTAACCGCGGCCTTAGAGTTGTCAAACTCGAGTTACAAGACAACTTAGCCTTACTGAACCTGCTACTAGGCGGTCTACCATTTCTTCCAGCACCTGCTCCACCTTGGTGATCTTTACCTTTACCCGTGAATCTTCGGCTACCACCGTTCTGCCTTCCCACTTTACTCTGGACACTGTTATTGCACGTAGCAGAAAAGCTGAATGCAGTATTGACAGAGTCTGGGCTCTGTCTGTCAACAGGAATCTCGGCTTCAGAGACAGATGGAAGAAATTGTATAGGGACTTCATTGACATCAGCAAGAGGTTTCCTTTCAGCAGAGACAATCCCCTTTTCGGAATCAGATACTTCATTGACAGCTTCAGACATCTCATCTATGTTTTCATTCTCTTCAGCTATGCAAGGAAGGTCCAGAACTGAACTCCCACGCTTCTCTAGGTTCATAGACTTTGGAGTGTTGGTACATAAGCTTTCAGCCTCCTCTTCTACGTTCTCATTCTCTTCGCTAATGCAAGGTAGGTCTGGTGTCTGACTGCCCCGCTTCTCTGAACTTGAAGACTTTTGCAAACTCCTATACCACAACTTCTCAGTTGGAGACCCGCGAGGATTCCTAGCATCAGTAGATAAGCCAGCACCAGAAAGAGGCTGACAGTCAGTGTACAATCTTCCTGTATAATCAAGGTTAATCCCCAAGTTATCAAAGACAGAGCTACCCTCAAGATTCTGACTGAAAAACGTGCCATCAAGCAGCTCAGTTGAAACAGACTGATCCAAGTCCCGTTTTCCGTTGAACTTAATGGTTTTCGCTAGATGTAAGGATGGAGTGGTCTTGCAAGCAGACTTGCGAATCTGCTCTATCATGGTCGCACTTTCTGCTGTAGTTCTTGGAAGCTGGAAGCTGTCATGTTTTATCTGGTTTTTGGAACTGCTTCGATTTTCATCATCGGTATGGAGTATAAAGCCCTCCAAAACAGGGGGGCTTCCATCGACTGAGCCAATCAAACCCAAGGGTGATAAACAAGGAGAACAATCTGAATCGCGGACACCGCAACTAGCAAATGGATGAGAGGTTTCTCCAGCAAATGGCAAAACGTCCATATCTTCTGTTTTAAATCCGTGATTTAGAGGACTCATCAATCCAGCTTCCTTGAATAGGTAACCCTGTAAATATCCCTTTTTACGGTTAATAACACACCATACAGATAAAATATTATGCAAACTAACAGCCTGAGCTGTACTGCAGTTTAATCTCTTGGCAGAAAATCAGTAGATTCACACTAACAAAGCCATACAAAGACGAGCACGGATAATCTTGAGAGGTGATTGATATTACGGCACTTAGAGATTTTCTCATTAATCACAATATCACGGTTTTCAGGTGAAGTATTATTGTTTAATTCCCTTTAGGGCAAGGAATGAATATATCTTTTTTAATTGAGCGGTTAAACTTATCTTCAAGAGAGAAAGATAACTAATTAGAAGACATAAACTAAGATGAATGAGAAATACAACACATACCTCTTCAAATCGTAACTCAGCTGACGATGCAGATCCAATCATCTTTTGTAACTCAACATCATAGTGATTGAGGTTGTGACATGCGACTTCCTCCCTATGATGTACTGTTTCCGTAACAGAATCTGAAAGAATGTCTCCCTGCAATAGATAAAAACCCATGATTCAAAAAAGGCATTTTAGTTACATTTGGAAGGACGGAGTGGTTCAAGACTCTCGTATATTAAACTGTCCCAAGACAGAGGAAAGAATATTCACCCCGGGGCTTGTCGAAAGCACTCTACTATTTGATTTGGCTAGGGTTCTTCTCCGCTTATTCTGCAGTTTGGAACCCTCTATGAAGGAACTTGAACAGAAAAATTCCTGTATAGAGCTCTCTGGACAATGAGGTAGATTTCTATTCATTGGGGGAATACAATTGTCAGAAGATGTTTCATGTTGCGGCCTCTTTGTCAATGCATCTATGTGACCAGTGAATGCATTTGACTCTGGAGGTTCATTCTCTCCCATTTTAATGCCAGTATGGCTAGCAGGCGATTTCGCTTCTGGTACCATTTCTTTCTTTAAGCCATTATGATCTTCAGTGTCATGCATTTCACTGTCTGCCGAGAGAAGTACTTCAGAATCAGTGAGAGATGGAACATCTAACTTCATTGTGGCGGATGCTAGTGTTGCGGTCTTCTCCATTGAAGATTTTTCTCGACTATTCATGGGAATCTCCGTTTCGAAGTTGCATTCTTCATTATCGTCAAAACGGGATGATTCAGCCTTCATAAATACAGGGAGATCATAGGTTGTCAATGATGAATTTTCTGCTCTAACTTCCTGCTGTTTGTCAGCCGTTTTATGATCAGAGCTAACAGAAAGAGCCTTAAGCTCATTTGTTGAATCCTCTTCATTGGCTGACCTTCTTGGCGTACTTAATCTTCCATGGCATTGGTTACCACCTGCTCTGGTCAACGAACCCTGTGTCTGTGGCTGCACTTCCTTGGACCCACAACTAGTATCACATTTTTTAGAATTGTCAATCGAGTCTTCTAGAGTACCGCTTTCCTGAAGAATAGATTCAACCACCACTGGCTCAAATTCCGTGATGTCTGTTTGGCTTAAACTTCTAGATTTTGGAATACTGCTTATTTCAGTTGATTCCCCAGCGTTATCTTCCTCCACTAATAAAGCTTCACCAGTAACAGTAACGGGCTTCAACAATACATTTTCATCATCTGATTGTATTACTGAGCGTCTTGACCGCACTTCAACTGAAGAGGACTCAACAAAGCCCAAAAGCTCGGTCTTGGATAAAGAGTCTTGGATTGCACTCACTATTGTCGTCTCATCTGTGGATATACCAGTTTGGCTGACCCTTCCAGCCCTTGAACATCTTTTAGTGTCAACACATTCACCATTTTCTTTTGATTGATCGTCAACTACTAAACCTTCAACATCAATAGTCGAGGGAATCAGTGACTCCTTTACACATTCACCCTTTTCCTTTGACTGATCCTCGCTCGTTATATTTCCAACTACTAAATCTTCATCATCAATAGTAGAGGGAATCAGTGACTCTTTTACACCTTCAGCTACTAAATCTTCACTGGATATGCTAGTTTGGCTGACCCTTCCAGAACTTGAACATCTGTTAGTGTCAACACATTCACCTTTTTCTTTAGATTGATCGTCGCTCGCAGTATTTTCAACTACCAAATCTTCAACATCAATAGCCGAGGGATTCAGCGACTCCTTTACATCGCCACCTTTCAGTAATGAAATCGAATGTCTTGGCTCCACGTCAACTGAAGAAGACTCATCAGAGCCTAAATTTTCGGTCTTGGATCTATTTCCTCGAGCATTACTGCTCGTTCCAGCATCTGTCACCATAGAAACTTCATTAGTGAGAGGTATTACCAAGGGTAATTCGACTTCATGATCTGCCCTGTGAGAGGGATTTGAATTTCTTGACGGAATGTCACCAGAAAAGGAGCTGCTTGGCTTTTGATGTTCCCTCTTGGAGCTCTGTTGACTCGAGCTTATAGATCTTGTACCTCCATCGAGATAAGCTGTTTCATTGCAACTTCTGCTTTGGGGATCATCCACTTGCTCATCTACTTTGGCAGACATATTATCAATTGTCTCAATGGTCTGTAATACATTCATCTCATTCAATTCACCAGACTCGAGTGGAGATTCTGGTACAATAGAAGCAAAAATACCCCCACTGGAAGACTTTTGCACCGAACCCACTTTCTGATGTGGGTTAGAAGACTCTTCACTTGAAATAAGCTTAATAAACTGATCCCCTCCCTTACCTTGAGAAACACAGTCGGGCCTTAAAGAAGCAATCTCAAGGCCTATATTTCCTCCGGGAGAAGGTTTGAGCTCACTTCTACTATTTGATCGGCTTTTGGAAGCTTTGGCACTACTACGAAGCTCCAAATCTTTTTGTCGTGACTTAGATCTCTGAATCTTGGAAAGTGGTAATCCAGGGTCAAGGCCAGAGTTTGGTTCAATTTCATCTTGAAAATATCCAGGAGATGATGGTTTCCGATCACAACCAGTAGTTGAGACACTTTTGGGATCCACTTTCCCTTGGCTATGTCCAGGAGATGTAGCATCAAGAATATTTTCAGGTCTTACTACATTGTCAGCTAGAAAACTGACAGGCTTTTGGTATGAAAAGGGATGGCTGCTAGGTCTTGATTGAGGAAATAGGAGTCCTGAGATAATTTCCTCCTTATTCGGCTCTGTATCCATAAAAACAAATATCAAAATAAGAATATTGAAAAGAAACTCTTCTATTCAATCGTAATTGAAATAGATATACAAGCAATGTAAGTTAGTACTACAATTAAAAAGCAAGCCGTTACTCAATTTCATGTTAGTGAGAAAATACTTCTGCAAAGTGGTTCTAACTTTGATGAAAACTCAGCACAAACATTTCCTTGGTAAATAGGAACAGCACGAGCGCCTAAACCCTATCACAGTATATTCAACATCAAATTTTATGCTTATGAAACCCTAACACATCAAATTATGCTTATGAACCCTACCACCCTTTATAATCTTTCAATCCGTCCTATCCCAGTTAGTCGACATCAAATTATGCTAAATACGCCTTAGAAAGATTCAACCCCCTGCGCTTTTAAGTATCAAACAACTTCGCAGGAAGAAATCTAAGACTATTGATCGGTAAAATAAAAGACTGATATTGATTTGCTCCTATTAACGAAAACCCTACATCATCCAATACTATGAAACAAAACCATCACGGAAAATGCTTCGAGAATCAACAAGAAATTAAGCACAATGTCAGAATGATTGACCACTATATCAGAATCAATGAACTACCGGAAGTTTGGGAAGGTAGAAGCCACGGCGGAGGAGAGACTCCGGAAATTAGGCACTTCATGGCTAAATGCCGGTCCAATCGATCTACTCCTTGCTTGACCTGCTCGACGATTCGCCTCTTGCTCTCAAATACATGCACGAAAAGATTCTCCATATTCAGATTCGCCGTCCCCTTCGGATTCTCTCTGCCGGGAAACATCGCCGACGACCTGCTCTCGAGATTGAGTGAGAGAGACTATTAGCGCGGATTTGAATTTCAAAATTTTGGGGATAAAGATTTCATTTTCGCTTTCATTTACCCTCTTTTTGAATGTCAGTGACCTTTCATTTTTCTATTTTAAAAATTATTTTTTAACCACAATGGAAAAAAAAAGTTTCCACAGAAAACATAACACCCTGCTAAACGGTGCGTTTTAAGTGAAACCAAAACGATGTCGGGAATTTAAATCTTTTACGCGACGCCGTCTCGACGACTTCTCTTTTATTCTTTGCCGTCGTCGTCTTTTCTCTCTCTCTCTATCTCTCTCCCATTATCATTCGCCTGAGTAATCTTTACAGGGGCAGATTCGATCGTAAATATCAATGGATGTCTCCTTACCAGTCGAGAAATTATCTATTGGAACAAAACCTGAGTAATTGCTTATTCTTATTCTTGAGTTTGATTCCTTTTTTTCCCTTTGATTTTCTATCAAGGAAAAATCGATTTTTAAAAAATTTAAATCATGGTGATGATACTCTCTCGAGTTTCATTGTAAATTTCTGGGTGTTGACCTTTTTTCGATCATTTTTCTGAATCAGGGACAAAACTTATGTAGTGCTTGTGGCAACTGGGAGTTTCAATCCTCCTACTTACATGCATTTACGCATGTTTGGTGAGTTTGTATCAGATCAGCTATAGAATATAATGTTCCTACACTTATCAATGGGTTTCAGACTTGACCAATGCGAGAAATTCGCACATTTTGAGGCATTTATGATCAGTGTGTGACTCGTTCCAATGGGATACTGTTTATAGTCTTAAGTTGCTTAGATTATGCCTTGTTCTTTACTTGTTTAGTGAAACAATCCTAAATGATCTGATTGTCATGCTCTATGAGCTTCGTATTTTTCGAAACCAGGATATGGTCAGAAAGAACAGCCTTATTCATGTTGATGCTTGTCTTGTCAAATGATGTTGCTGCGACCCTTTGTCCAAATTTTCCTTTGAACCAGGATATGGTCAGAAAGAACAGCCTTATTCATGTTGATGCTTGTCTTTGCCAAATTTTTCTTCTGTGTTTAGAGCTGGCGAGAGATGCATTACACTCAATGGGATTTCATGTTCTTGGAGGCTATATGTCCCCTGTAAATGATGCATACAAGAAGAAGGTAAAACCTATTTCTTCTTTTATAGTTCCCAAGGTTCTTCTGCTTGCTGTTTAATTTCCTTTAGAAATAATAAAATCATCAGATGTGTGTAGGGCCTCTTATCTGCAGAGCATCGTTTAGAGATGTGTAATCTAGCCTGCAAAAGCTCCGACTTTATAATGGTTGATCCGTGGGAGGTACTCTCTCTGTCCCTCATAAGCTTTTGATAATTTCTCTTTAGAGGAACAAAGCGTTGTTTTCTTACAAAACTGTGAAAAGCTGTTCCTGCAGGCATCTCAAAACGGCTACCAACGAACTTTGGTGGTTTTATCAAGGGTCAAGACTTTCCTTACAAACAATCAACTTGTACCCGAGGGTAAGATAACTGCAAACAAACTGTCTCCTATGTGACCTTTAGCATCTTTCATAGTATATGTCACTTACATTTTTAATGGGATTGCTATGTTTCATCATAGTTACTACTTACGCAAATGACAAACTCATAAGTATTGGTCTATGATGCTAGAATCTCTCAAAGTCATGCTATTATGTGGCTCGGATTTACTGGAATCTTTCTGCACTCCCGGTGTCTGGATCCCTGAACAGGTAAACCAAGGCATCATCGTTGTATAAACCGAGATTTGTTTGATATATTCTACTCACAATTATGCTCTTTTTTCAATATTGGGTTTGGTTTTCAAAGGTAAAGACAATTTGTGAAGACTATGGCATTGTGTGCATCCGTAGAGAAGGACAAGATGTTGAAAATATGATCTTTGGTGACAAAATCTTATACGAAACCCGTGTAAGCACATTATTACCGAGCTCCTTTACTTTGTGTGAGTCCGATATATCAATCTGTCTAAATACGGTTTCTTTTGTAGGATAACATCAGAATCGTCAACAATTTTGTTCCTAATCAGATCAGTTCGAGTAGATTAAGGTAGTGTGAGAATCTCTCTCGTCCTCGGGAACATTTCATTTACAGTTAAAAAAACGGCTTCTCCTGCTCAATTCCTCTGCTTCTTTCAGGCAATGCATTTCGCGAGGATTATCGGTTAAGTACTTGACTGAAGATGGAGTAATAGATTATATCAGACAACATCAACTTTACACTGACTGAGCTCACATGACAAAAGCTGAGAGGATCAATATTACTACTACACAACCCATTCAAATAATCTTGTGTTATAAACAGATGTAATCATACCTCGATATTTTTTATATGATTACTTATCAAATTTTTGCATCATATCCTGTTGAAAAGCTACAACAAGATGAAGAAAGAAACAAAGAAATAAAGACGAGAGGAAATAAAATATTGTGAATACTGAAGAAGAAAAGAGAAATCGAAAACGACACTCTCATGTCTGTTCTGTTTATGTGGTCTCTTCAGAGCAGAGAACTACTTGCTCATTGACAAGAGGCAATGTCTCTTATGCGAAACCCTAGATTCACCTCTCTTCTTAAATGGGTATCACAAGTTTCTGCAGAAGCTAAAACCTTTATGCCCCAGATTCCGGGAACTGGGTTTCATCTTCCTTTTACCTTAAATCCTAGGTCTTTCGCCACCGTCGGTTCCGGCAAGAAACTGAGTGCTAGAACCGGAATTGAGAATCGTGAAAAGGCCCAGGCTGCGATGTTGGATTACTTCTATATCACGAGGGGATTGCAGTTTTTGGTCGCAGAGAGTATGAGCAAAAATGCTCCTCTCTTCAATGATAAACTCTTAGAGAAAGTGAATTGTGATGATGCTGATGCTGATATCGCTCGATCGATCACCAGGTTTCTACGGTTTCACCCCATTAACGAATTTGAGCCTTTCTTCGAGAGTTTAGGCCTGAAACCATGGGAGTACAGTCATCTGCTTCCCAGTGACAAGATGTTCTTGAAGGAAGATGCTTTTTTGCTTGAGAATTACAATACTTTTTGGATCTATGGAATTGGACTCAAGCAGATGGGGAAGATCTTCAAGGAAGCTAGGGAGGTTTTCAGGTATGAAACCGGGGTTTTAGCTTCCAAGATTAAGGCTTATGAGAATTTGGGACTGACAAAATCGTGTGTGTCGAAAATCATCGTTTGTAACCCGAGTATCTTGATTGGGAATATGAATGATGAACTGGTTAAGGTTTTTGAGATGCTGAAATCCATAGGAATTGGGGTTGATTGGGTAGATGAGAACTTGTCAGAGGAGGAGGAATTTTATGATTGGAGCTCTATTCATAAAGTTTTAAGCTTGCTAAGAGATCTCTTTTTCAATAATAATGAGCTGTGTGAGTTAATCAAGAAGCACCCAAGGCTTGTTTTTGAGGATTCAGGGGAGTGGACTCTGTTTCTAGCTGGGTTTCTAACAAAGCTTGGGTCATCTAGAAGTGAACTCTGTTCGTTTTTCCGTAAATTCCCAGAAGTTCAGGCAAAGAAATGCGTTTCGAATCTAAGGCATGGCTTCTTGTTCCTAAACCAGATCAAGATGGAGTGTGATGAGATCAGTAAGATTTTCCGTTCTCACTCCTCATGGCTTGGTGCTTGTCCTTTGAAGAAACCCAAAACCTTACTTGATAGACTGAACGTTGGGACTAGGCGGCTTTGTCAAATCATTCAAGAAAACCCAGAGGAGATGAAAAATTGGACCATGGGTTTAAAGGTCCAGCCACTGCCTAGTACCGGGGAAGAGGAAACGTCGAGATTGATGAAGACACAGTTCTTGTTGAACCTTGGATATAAGGAGAACTCAGAGGATATGGAGAGAGCGGTGAAGAAATTCCGTGGAAGAGGATCAGAACTCCAACAAAGATTCGATTTCCTTGTGAGTTTGGGTCTAAACGAGAAGGATGTCAGATGTATGGTGAATGCCTTCCCTCAGATCCTATGTCAAACATCTGATCTTCTAGAAGCAAAGGTTGACTACATTGTCAAGGAACTAGGCTATCCGCTTTCGACCTTTGTGGCTTTCCCTTCGTGTCTTGTGTTTACTCTCCAGCGGATGAAGCTCAGATTAGGGATGATTCCGTGTCTTAAAGGCAGAGTAAAGGCAATGAGCAGTTTACTTGCGTGCTCAGACCAACATTTTGTGTCTCACTATGTAAACCGCCACCCCGATGGGCCTAAGCATTGGGAGGATTTGAAGAAACAGATTCTTTACGAGTAGAAGAACTAGTTTCCTTGATTTTTTTGTGGTCAAGATAAACAAGAACAAAGCATCAAGATATAGGATTCACCACGTAAATGCAAATGAGCTTCAAGACATTGAGCAACAACTATAATTCATTGCTTCGAGCTGGGGACCTTGAGGATATATTTTGTCGTGGGCTGAATATGATGGGACTAGATTAGATTATTATTACTCCGAGTTGCGGAGTTGGAGCAGCTAAGCTACAAGTCATGCTCGTCCGTGGCTCGTTTTACTCCAATCTCTCTGCATTCTCGGTTTTCGGTTCCCTGAGCAGGTAAACCAGTACATTATATCTCCAGAGACCATACATAGTTATATGGAAATGATGCTTGCTTGCTATATGTGATTCTACTCACAGTTTGCGCTTTGTATATTGGTTTTTGAGAAGTCTCTGGTTGCTCAAGAATATTACATTACATTGCTTTTCTCTCTGGATTGGATAAGAGATACTATATGTTAGCCTCTTTTTTTTTCTTACCAGATTTTTTCTTATGAACCAACCAGAAAAAGAGATATGTTAGTGTACTGATGGTTTTCTGCAGGAGAATTTTATATGTTGATTTTCAGGTTTTATATGTGTCTCTTATAAACTGCATTTTTAAGAAGCATGTTTAACTTTTTCAAGTTTGGGACTCGAAAAAAGTTTATGGAATGTACTTATTTTGGGTTTAATAAAGAGACCCTTAGAGATTTTGGTTTATCTAAGTGAAGATTCCAGTTACACTCAAAATGATTTCTCATATCCTGTTCTCTTTTCTTCTAGGGAATTCATTTTTGCGGGAAATATTGGTTTATATTAGAGCAAATGACAATGATTTTCCTTAAGCGTGAAAGTTTAATTTCACAATGAAAGTTACGAAAAAACTGTGTACATAAAAGTTTGATTTCGTTGGATGCTCATTCAGTCACCACTTACCATGCAGGCGTTGGACACATCCGGAAGAACAAAAGACTGTGTCGAAGCCATTGAAAACTATTGGGAAAGGACAACGACGCTTGCATCCACTACAAATAGGTCGGGAGAGAGAATTGTTGAGAAGAATCTGACACTCTAGCCCTTGGATCGTAGTGGTGTGTACACCAGGTTTCATGTTAATGTCTTCCCCAAGTGCACATTTAACATGAAGAGCTAGGCAGCATTCGTCGCATTTAAAGAAAATATGCAACTCTTTTCTACCATTCCCTGTCTCCGTTTCTTCTTCTAGTACAATCTTGGTCTCGCAAACCTCACACCACTCTGGTTGATCATCATTTGCCTCATCTTTCCCGTCGCAGCTTTTGAGGAAATGACTGTCATGCTTATACTTTACCTTGTATGGTAAGGTAGCACAGCTGAAACATATAATATAATCGCATTCGGAGCAGTTTAGTTTCGTACCATTGCCTTTGTATTTGCAGACTTGACATGTTGCCTCTTGGCATGGGTCTAAAGGTAGGTAGAGAGGATGGTTATGGCCTTGATATTGAAATGGTTCTGTGATCGATGCACATCGTAAGTCTAGTTGGAAGAGAGATCTCCATGTGAGATGCTCATAGGCAAAGCCACTTGACATACGCCAACAAGCAGTACAACGGAAAAAGCCTTTGTTACGACCATGATAATCCTTGGTTGCAAAATTTAGTGTGAGAGGATGTGGATCCAAGGGATGGCGTATCATGCGGGGAGCATGTGCACAGCTTTCATGGAGGATGAAGTCCTCGCATTCTTCCATGCATGAATAGAATCGACCTTCGTAGATTGGAAGAGAACACCCTAGACAGTTCTTGTTACCATCATACGCTCTTCTGCTCATCGTCTCAAGTTGCAGATTGTGACTATGAGAAAGATGGAGTATTATTCCATCAGCTATCCTCTTGAATGGTTCACCGTCGTCTATCATATCATCTTCTTCTGGTACACCTTGCAGATCTTTTCCATCCCAAACCCTTGTATCTAACTTTACTGCAAGAATATGTTGAATGCACAAAGTAAGCTTCACCTTTACTGCAAGAATATGCGCCATATCTACTGTCAACAGGTTGACGGCAGACTCCGCAAGAGAGTTCCCCATGTGGAAGAGAAGCTGTGAATGAGATACGGTGGCTATGACGAGATGTTCTTATGACATGCGGGAAATCGATGCAGCCTTTATGGATTACGAAGACACAGTCGATACAGATGTATGTGGGATCGAGGTTCTTGATAAGGCCACATATATGGCAAACCAAAGAAGCTTGTGTAGGGAAAAAAAGTCAGAGGGTGTGGATGGCTTTTTGGATGGTTTACAATAAAAGGTACAGGCTTCATCGCACATATTGGATGCATTCTCAAATCGCAGGTAGAACAATGATATGTCATGTTTTGAAGATATGCTCCACAACAAATGCACCAATCCTGACCAGTAGAGTGATTGTAAAGTTGAAGAGGATGAAAAGGATGGGAAGGGTGTCTGATCTCAAGTGGAGACTCTACACATTCTTTGTGGAACTTGTTTTCACAATCAAGGCAAGCATAATAGCTTCCACTGGCCTTGGACTCTTCGCATGCACCGCAACTAAAGTCTTCACTGTCAGGTTCTTCATTGTTGCACCAAAAGAGAGGGACTACAGGGAGCTTACAGATATCATATTCTTGGTAATCAAGCATAGATTCGCCTTTGTGAACACCGCTTCTTGGCCTTGTTTTAGTGGGGAAGTAAGGAGGAGAGACGAATGGAAGAAACTCGTAGATATGGAATCCGTAATCGTCCATCTTTAGTATGGACTTTTGAAATCTGATACGTGAAGCAGGACAGAAGAAAAGAGGTGGTTGATTGTCAACACTAGCTAGTGTTTCACAGGAGGAAGTTGAATTGTTTGTTTGTGTTGTTAAGGTGTAAACCAAATATGGTTTTTCATCCATTTCCACCTTACGAAATACACCCTCGTAACTCATGGCTGTGCTACAATAATGTGGAACTTTGAATGTTTTTGTGATATCCATCTTCTCTTTCACCTCACCCTTGCAGTTATAGAGCAAGTCATCTATACTAATTAAATTTGACATTACAGCTGGGCATGGGTAAGGTCCTTTAATATTCATTATATTTTTGACGTCTTTTTCATTTTTTTTTGTATTAAAAGAAAAGAAAGTCATTCATTATTGATTTCGAATCTCTCTGTACACCGTCTCTTCCGGATCTTGTGTCTAAAGATTAGTTTTATGAGTCGTTTACAGAAATAGCACTTATGGACTTTTTATTACAAGAAATAGCACTTTCTTACACCATAACATTTAGACTAAAACCATAAACATTGCAGAGACTCAATGAAGTCTCTTAAGTAGTATTTTAATAATATATGTTAGCTGAATACCCATATAAGAGACATATTGTTTTTGATCAAATATTATAGAGATCCTTTGGAATTGTTTTAAAAAAAAAACATTTTACTCAGAAAAAGATAATTATTTCATTACAAAGATTTAGAGAAGAACATAAAAAGAATTAAAACATAAATTTTGTTACAAACTTCAGTTGACATTTTAGTAATGTCCACTTTTCGAGCAGCTTCCTGTTTTTCTGCAAATAAACATGCTTTCGAGTCTTGTGGTATTGGAATATATTGGATAAATGTCGCCCATTTCGGATAAATACCATCTGTCAGATAGTATGCCAAATCATACTCCCTTCCGTTGACAGAAAATTTCACTTGTGGAGCTTTTCCCTGAATTATATCATCAAACACGGGTGAGCGATCAAGCCATTTATATCGTTTAAGGTACCTGGAGGTCCAAAAAACGCATGCCATATCCACAGGTCATATGATGCTACAGCCTCTAAAACGATTGTCGGTTTGTCCGAACCACGTGAATATTGCCCTTTCCACGCGGTAGGGCAATTCTTCCACTCCCAGTGCATACAGTCGATGCTTCCTACCATTCCGGGAAATCCGCGGTACTCTCAATAATCAAGTAACCGTTGAAGATCCTCTGGTGTTGGTCTTCTCAAGTATTCATCACCAAATAAATTTATGATTGCGTCGACAAAATTTTCCAAACAGTTCCGAGCAGTAGTAGCACCAATGCAAAGGTATTCATCAACTGAATCAGCAGCCGTTCCGTATGCCAGAAGACGAATTGCTGATGTACATTTCTGAAGTCCGGAGAGACCAGGCCTTCCGAGAGCGTCTTTCTTCTGCCGAAAGTATCGAACTTCATTATTTAGTCGATCAACAATCTTCATGAACAATGACTTATTCATCCTAAACCGGCGGCGGAATAGATAATCCGGAAATATAGCCTCCTCACTGAAGTAATCATTCCATAAACGTATATGGCCTTCTTCCCGGTTTCTTTCAATGAAATCTCTTTTTTTCCTTGAATTGGTTGCCTCTTGCTGTTGTCCGTAGTCGATGAACATATTCTGAAGAGTGTGAACAGTGTGATTATAAAATTGATCAAATAATTGATCACCTTGATGATCAAGATATTCATCAATTGATTCATCATCATTATTATTCGAAGATGAAGCCATGGTTTTTTGAATAGAAAGTGGATATCGTTTAAAAAGAAAAAGAAGAAGTACAAGAAGAAGCCTTGTAAGAGAAAGAGAGAATTGCTTGATTGAGAGAAACAATTGCTTGATTTGTCAAGCATTCAGAGCATCTGTTTTTTGCAAGGAGTCTGTCAAGAACACTCATCCTAGTAAGCCTCTCCCTTGTTGCTAATTCCTTATCTTTGACATCCAACACTTTTTGAAAGTCTGCAGTAGCTTGAGCAACATTGTTTACTTCAGTAGAACATTTTTTTCCTTTGGCTTTTGCAGCCTTCACACCTATAGGCCGAGAGCATGAACCATCATTTTCGACAGTCTCCATGGCTTCAGTTTCCATCACATCGGTTCTTCTCTTTTTGCTCGCTTCATTGCCTTTTGTGGTGGAAAGATCACACCACTTTTGGTCATTCCGCAGTTCCTTCCAGGCGTATTCAAGGTTAAATTTCTTCTTGTGGTTTGTGAAGAAAATCTGGTGAGCAAGCTTCAGGACGTCGTTCTCGTTCATGCCGCTGGTCTTCTCCCTTGTTTCAGAGTCATATGCACCGGAGAACTTACACACAAGATCATTGATCTTGTGCCACCTCTGCTTGCACTGGCTTGCTGTTCTTGGTACACGACCCTCTGCATTTGGACTTCCATCATAATAGTCTGATACCCTCTGCCAGAAAGCACCAATCTTCTGTTCATTGCCAACTACAGAATCTTTACTGGTATTTAACCAGGAACTGATCAGCAACACATCGTCGCTTGGGTTCCAAGCAGCTCTCTCCTTTCGCTCTTGAGGTGTAGTCTGCGTGCTGAAGCTTGGAAATGGTTCGAGTGAAGCAAAGGAATCAGTAAGGGGAGTGTCTTGTTGACTATTCAATAAGTCCACAAAGTTAGTGGGTTGAGCATATGGATATGCCGAAAACATGAATGTTAGTGAAGAAATGAAAAGGTTGTGAAGAAAGGTAGAAAAATGGAATGAAAAGGTTGTTAAGAAATGTAGAAAAATGGAATGAAAAGGTTGTGAAGAAAGGTAGGCAAAAGGAATGAAGAGGTTGTGAAAAGCAGATGAAGGATCGAGTTTTAAAAACCAGAAAAATGGAAAGAAGGCATTGATGAGACATAAGCACCAACTACCAAAGTCAGAAAACTCTCTAAACCTTAAAAGCAATAAACTCTGTAAACCTTAAAAGCAATAAACACCAACTACCATCGATGAGACATTAAAGCAATCAAGACCTCAAACTTAAACCTTAAAACTCCAACTACCATCGATGAGAAACATTCAAGCCTAACTAAATCCAGCCATTAATATTATTATCAACTACAAATCTCCCTAAAATGAACAAGCCTTTATTACATTACCAACTACAAAGTTCCATTTTTATGCTAAAGACAATTAATATGGTTTGAAGATTGCTTACCAAGAATTACTTCTGTCTTCTGCTTTAATGCTCAATGATTGCTTCACCTGTCTCGCCAATTTAGATGTATAGCCTTTAAGCTGCATTGAAAAAAAATCAGAAACCAAGTTTAGTTCCAAATAATGTATCCGATTGATGCATATCCTAAACCAGAGAAGGTTAACAAACAAACAACCAATCTGAATCAAATAAAACAATCCCAATCTCAAACATTGTCTTATTGTCACTTACACA